CATCAAAGCTTGGTCAAATCACTTTTTGAGAAAGGTTGGAGTAACAACAGAAGCTTCCTTGGATTTTCTGCATGTAGTTGAGCAAGTTTTTTTTGCAGTGGCTCAACTGCCTGCAGTTGAAATGTAGGATGCTCCAGCCAAGCTGCCATCCAAACCCCACCTGTTTTCATGTGTAGATTTTTTTGGCACAGTAACTGTGCAGTCTACACAGTAACTGTGCAGTCTACACAGTAACTGTGAGGTCTACACAGTAACTGTGCAGTCTGCACAGTGACTGTGCATCAAAGCTTGGCTGAATCACTCCAGGAGAAAGGTGGGAGTGACACCAAAATCTTTGTTGGACTTTCTGCATTTCAACTGCAGGCAGTTGAGCCAGTTTTTTTTTTTTCAGTGGAATGGATGAAGAGAAAACAACTGGAGACATGTTTTGAGATCTAATTACATTCAAGATTAGTTTTAAAGTAAAATCTGTGGACTTCAAAGTCTCAACTTTGGCTGACTACTTAGCACATTATATGCTACTAGAGAGTTGATAGAATTATGCAAATATGATGATCACAGATGTTGAAGGAATTCATCTGCGCAGCCCGTCTAATTGTGTTGAACCTGTAACAGGCCTCTTCCCACAAGGCATGGGCCATTTTGAAATTGGAGAAGCCACACCAGAAAGATTGGTCTACAGGAAACAGCAAGATCAATCAGCCAATATTTTCATGGACTGGGTTGTGAGTCCCAAGGTGATAGAACATTGGCTTGTTGGTGGTGTTGTGCATCCACTTGTTGATGAAATCACACAATGCTGTTTAATTCGCGCCATTTGCTGCCAGTCCATCTTCATTGTGGATCTGGGAGCTAATGGAACCAATGATGGCTGCAGCAGTGCCATTGAGATCAGTGTCAATGCAACAGGTGTCATGGTTGGTGGACACAACAGGTGGTGTCACAGCTGCAGTGTTAATGGGTGAGAAGGGAAGTGGGATGTGGGGCGGCACAGCATGGCTTGCGGGGGACAATTGGGCACTGGTCAAATTACGGGAAAAGTGGAGGGGAGCATGGTGGTTGACAGGGAAGCACGAAGATTTGTGGACATTATGAGAGGTGTTGGAAAGGGATGGATGGATGGATGTGTTGTGGGATTGGGGGAATAGAGAGTTTGAGAAAATAGTGGGATTGAGAGGAGTTGCAAGGTGGGAAGGATGGGTGGTTGGTAAGAATTTGAGCAACAGTGGGCCCACTATGCTACACGTAGCGTTAGCGTAGCGTAGTGAAGCTTCAAACCGCTAACAGCTAACAACTTTTGTTGTAGCCATTAGAAGTTTTGCGCTAACGCTAATGGAACGAGGCCCAAAAAAGGCCTTGTTACGCTACGCT